AATTTTTAAAGCTATGTTTGAACTTTGAAGTTTGATTGTGAAATGCAAAATACAGTAATTTCCAATGTGGCATCATGGCATGTTGCATTAACTTGGGATTCATCTTTGTCATTAAAATTAATTACATTACAACTACTACCATATTATTAATTTCTACAATTCTACATGCACTTTTGGCCATATCTAATTTTGTTATGGCAGCTAAAATTATCAAAATTTTATTTTAATTTAATTATTAAAAATAATTAATAATTAAAAATAATTAATATTTATTATTTAATATATTAAAATTATTTTACAAATAAATATTTTTAAATATCATAATCAATGATTTAAAGCAAAAATTATACATTTTTTATATTTTTTTAATATAAAATTATATATATATTAAATCGAACTTTCATATTCAAGATTCATTTCAAACCCTAAGCATTTGAATGTAGTTAATGAAAAGTTTGAATCTCACTAACAATTTAAAAATTAAACCCTCCATCCCCAAATTCCCTTATGTTTCAAAAAAAAAAAAATCAATATATATATTAATAAAATTATATTTAAAATTAGTACTTCTATGCCGTCGTAATCTAAGGTGCAATTTATCCACGGTCGGTGAAACTGGAATTACATAAACACCCTCAAACTTTTCCTAAATCTAGCATCCCATAAAAAAAATTAAGGTATTGTGTGGATTGGAGGTGTCGAACGGAGAGGGAGAGGAAGGGATGGGGATGGATGGCAAGGGAAGGGGAGTGAGGGGTGACTGTTTCGTTCCTTTTGTTTGGGTTTCCAAAGAGGCAGAGGAGGAGCGAGATGAATTGATTTGGACTCCCTTCAATCACCTTCAAATCTGCAGATTTGTAATCCGTCCGATTTGGGAGGTTTGGGAGGGATTGGAGTGACTATTTAAATTATGTTAAATGTAATTATAAAATTAATCTTAATTTTTAAATCTATTACAAATTTAAAGGGTAAATTTGTAAATTTAAAATTAATTTAAATCATTCCCTTCCTTCCCTTCCTTTTACTTTAATTATCCAAACATAAAATAATACAATCTTTCCCTTTCCTTCCCTTCCCCTTCCTTATTTTTATTTATCAAAACAAAATTAACACGGATCATTTCATTTTATTTTCTTTCTTTCTTTTCCTCCCCCTCTATTTCCTTTTATTTTCTTTCTTTTTCCTCCCTTCCCTTCCCTTCCCTTCCCTTTACTATTTTCTATCCAAACAAAGCGTAAAAGTTAAAAAAATTAAAAAAGGGAGAATATTAAAGGCAAGGCATTTTTTTTTGTACTAATTTAATTGGAATATAAAATTACGGGCTCTATATCCAACGTCCACCGCAACTGCGGCCTCCAAAGACTGTTAAGTTAACTTCTCTGTGCTCCGCCACCGTCACCACCACTTTCATACACTGCCGCTGCACCTCTGGGGCTCTAGAATCCAAGAAAAAAAGTACGGAGAATTTCACGTACAAGGAAGAAAAAGCGTCATTTGAGGAAAATCTTTGGAAAAGATCAACTGGCGCACTTTTGCTTGGACAGAGTAACTTAATCGGACGACCCTGGAGGGTACACTTTTGCAGGGACGAAAGACCCACCATTGATGAACTCAACAGATCTTTTGACAAAGTAGTGCCACAACCCACTTTATTATTTTTCTAAAGGGTACGTTTTTTTTTTTTTTTTTTTTTGTTTCTTTTTTATATGTTGGGTTTGATTTTGGAGAAATTGGAGAAGAAGGTGCAGAGGAAAACAGGGAAATGGGGTGTTGGTGCTCCAGGATAGAGAGGGAAGAGATGGTGTCGCGGTGCAAGGCGAGGGAGAGGTACATGAAACAGTTAGTTAAGGCGAGAAATGCCCTCGCTGCTTCGCATTCGTTGTATCTTCGCTCTTTACGGAGTACCGGCGCCGCTCTCCTCCGGTTTGCCAACAACGAGACCACTTTGCAACTCCTCCACCACCACCACGCGCCGTCGCCTCCGCCACCCACACGGCCGCCGTTGAGTCCTGGGTCGGATACCTGGACAGCCAGCACGACGGCCTCCACTGCTCTACCCCCGCCTCCGCCTCCGCCACCCACACGGCCACCATTGAGTCCTGGGTCGGATACCTGGACATCCAGCACGACGGCCTCCACTGCTCTACCCCCGCCTCCGCCTCCGCCGCTGTCTAGCGGCTGGGACTTCTGGGATCCGTTTGCCCCGCCTGCACCATCACAGTCAGCAATGGAGGAGGATTGGGAGGTTGCCACGTCTGCATCAGACTTGGCTGCAAGTGCCACAGCCACAACTACCGTCACTGGAGCTGCGAGCGTGGTGGCGCCGCCTTCTGTGGTAAGTGGGTTCTCGAAGGATACAGGAAGCGAGCTTGCTGTCGTTCCCTCCAGAAATACTAAAGAACTGGTGGAGATTGTGAAGGAGGTTGATGAATACTTTCTCAAAGCAGCCGACTCCGGCAGCCAGCTCTCGGTGTTGCTAGAAGTCTCAAATTGCAACATCTCTGCTCAAAGCAAAGAAGGTATATAATTAACCATACATCCATTCACATTGCATGTCTTCTACCATAAAAATCCAATTGCTTTCCATTATTGTAGGCAAAGTTTATAACCATGGCTGCAATTTGAATCCGACATTGTGGACATGGAGTTCTAGTCTGAAATTAGACTCATGTGGCAATCTAGGAGAGGAGAGATTCGGCAGCAATCTCAGCGGCAGCAGCACCACGGTTGGGGGTAGCCATTGTTCTACTGTGGAGAGATTATATGCTTGGGAGAAGAAGCTGTACCAGGAAGTCAAGGTAGTCTTCATCCAATATCATGTTTCTTTCAAGGAATTAGATCATTTAGGTTTCTTGTTCATTGTTTAAGAATCTAGTTTTTTTACTAATTTGTCTCTTAACTCCTTTAGACTGCAGAAACTATAAAGATAGAGCATGAGAAGAGGGTGGAGCAGCTGAGGAAGCTAGAGCTGAAGAGAGCTGATTATGTGAAGACTCAGAAAGCCAAGAAAGAAGTGGAGAGGTTAGAGTCACAAATGATGGTTGCTTCACAGGCCATTGAGACAACCTCAACTGAGATCATCAAGCTAAGGGAGACAGAACTCTATCCCCAACTCCTTGACCTTGTAAAGGGGTTAGTCATTAGTCCATTTCTTCATTTCTTGTCTTGTTAGTGTTTTCTCCTTCATGAATTAACCTTTAGCGTTTATGAGCTGGAACCAACAACCCCTAAGCATATTCACGTGATTTGTTACATCATTTTCGAAGAGGGATGCTTTCAGGACCCCCTTTTGCACTGTATATTTGATGAGGGTGGCATACTAGGCTATTTTTCTGTTTAGGGTTTAAATTTTTCTTGGGTTTTCTTTGGACTTTTGTCAAGGACATTTTCAAGGACATTACCCCTACCACCTACCAGATCAATAGTGAGGATAAGAGTGAACGTCAACTAATGCGTCAGAAGTTTTGTTCATTTACTTGCTTTTTGACTGCTTTTACCGTGCTATGCCATTGTTGATTGCATCAAGTTCTCACCTATTAAGCTTTAATCTGTTGTTGATTCCTTCCGTTTTAGGTGTCTCCCTTAGGAGAGAATCCTGTGGCCCAACTTTGTGCAGAATAAGATTTTGACTGTCCTTGCATTTGGGTCCCATCTGAGGTCCACCTTAACCCCTGTTTATTAAGGCTGAATTTTCCATTTTCATGAGGTTTAAATAGGAGATTCGGTTTTCCACTTCTGTATAAATTATGTATTAATGTATTATCGATTGGGCCTTTTTTTAATTCCTTTCACTTAATCTATAAATGTTAAATCTTAGCAGTTTGCTTGTTGTGCAGCTTGATGTGCATGTGGAGAAGCATGTATGAGATCCATCAGGTTCATACTCACATAGTTCAGCAGCTCAAATACCTCAACTTCATCCCTTCAAATGAACCAACATCAGAGATTCACAGGCAGTCGACTCTTCAGCTTGAACTAGAAGTCCAACAATGGCACCTATCTTTCTGCAATTTAGTAAAGGCCCAGAGGGACTACATCCAGTCCCTCACTGGCTGGCTACGGCTTAGCCTCTTCCAGTTCAGTAAAAACCCTCTTTCAGGAGCCAATCAAGACTCCAAGATTTACTCTTTTTGTGAGGAATGGCATCTTGCAGTTGACAGGATTCCAGACAAGGTAGCAGCTGAAGGAATCAAGAGCTTCTTAACAGTAATTCACACCATTGTAGTTCAGCAGGCAGAAGAGCATAAACAGAAGAAAAGAGCAGACTCTATATTTAAGGAGTTTGAAAAGAAAGCAGCTGAACTTAGATCATTAGAGAGCAAGTATGGACCATATTCCATGCCTGAAACGAGCAAGAACCCCATTGCAGATAAGAGAGCAAAGGTTGAGATGTTGAGAGCAAAAGCAGAGGAGGAGAAGTCTAAGCATGAGAAGTCACTGGGTGTAACAAGGGCAATGACCTTGAATAACTTGCAAGTGGGGTTTCCGCACGTCTTTCAGGCAATGGTGGGATTTTCTAGCGTCTGCATGCAAGCTTTTGAATCTGTATACAACCAAGCCAAGAGCATTGATGAGGAGCATGATGTGAAGAGGCTACTTTCTTGCTAAAGACAATCAATTATGGTGAGTTGATTTGGTATAGAGATTAGGGGTTTTCAATTAGAGTTGTATGTTAAAATTGATAGCATTTTTTTTTTTCTTTTCTTAACCAATCCTTTAATAGAGAGATTTGTTTGTGTTGTATATATGTAAGTGATCCATTTGCCCTACCACAGAAACCCTTTATAACTACATGCTCCATAGTTGGAATGAACTATAAATTAAAAAGAATCATCAAACAAATTGTATAAGATTGACCAGCCTTTGAAATTTCCCAACCACTTGACCTTCTGGTAACCCAATAATTCTCTATCCCAACTTACCACCATAATTTCAGTAGTCAATTTATCACCCAACTTTCTATCCTATCATTTCATTTTCACTTCCCATGTTCTTCAATCTCCTTACTCATCCCTATAATTCCTCCCTGAAATCCATTTTATCCAAAGAAAAAGACATATTAGTATTGCATATAAGATTAGTAGATTATAATGAGTCGAGTAGCTCATGAACTCTTTGATTCAAGTTTTAGTTTATAAACAAGTTAATGTTTCCTTCTTGATTTTAAGCCCTCTAGTTTTATAGCTGAATTTTGATTATAAACTCAAGAGTAGCTTGTTATATTATATTAATATGGCAATAATATGACTATTAGTAAGAATGTGAACTTATAGTTATAAAAGGTTATTAAATAAATGTATATAATATTATACGTAAATTTTTATTAAAAAAATGTTATATAATAATCTTAAGTTAATAATATTTTATAATTATAACTTAAAAATATTGATTTGACATAACAATAACAAATTTAAATTTATATAATATCAAATAATTAATAATCATAAACTTATAATATAATATATTATTATAATTATTTTATTTTTGAGATTAATATAATGTAAATATAATGTAAATTAAATGCCACGTCACAAAAATTTCTCCGGCTGCCAACACAGCAGTCCCCCAGTCTGCACCTCCAAGGTCTCACTCACCTACCCAATCTCCGTCGGCCTCCTCTTCTACCAACCCCACCACTCAACATGCTACCTTCCATTCAAACAACAAACACAAGCCACAAACTTCTCCTCCTCCTTTACCCCAGTCCCCGAATTCAGACCTCCGCCGTAACCAGAGCCGCTTCCTATGGCATTCACTTCAAACGCCTTCTCTCCTTCTCTCTCCTGTAATCTCAATACGAAGATCAACTCGTCTACCTTGAAGCCAAGTCCACATGGGTTTTTCCAAGCTCCCAGCAAGATTTCTGTTCGGGGTTTGAGCTCTGTTGAGTTGAATCGGGCCCGCGTTGCTGTGTCGCGACTGAGTCGACTGAGGATTTGCGCGACTGCAGCTGAATTGATGGAGGCGAAAGCTCCTACAATCGTTGATGTGGATTTGGGTAATCGTAGTTACCCGATCTATATTGGATCCGGGCTTCTTGAACGTCCTGAACTGCTTCAAAGGTTAGCTACCTATTTTCAAAGCTAGCTCATTTCTGTGTGATTTTAGCTGAAGTTTAAAACTTTGACAATTTTTGTCTTTCATAGATTATGTTTTAGTTACGTTCAATTGTTTGGCATTTCAATAGGCATGTTCATGGGAAGAGGGTTCTTGTGGTGACTAATAACACGGTTGGGCCAATATATTTGGATAAAGTTGTTGATTCTTTAACTAGAGGAAACCCTAATGTTTCAGTTGAGAATGTGATTTTACCAGATGGGGAGAAGTACAAGGATATGGTGGGTTTTTAATTTTTATTCTCCTTTACATTTACATTTGGCTGTATGAGCTCTCTGTTATTTGCAATGCAAGTGACAATGATATCTGCTTTTAGGACACTCTCATGAAAGTCTTTGACAAGGCCATTGAGTCACGGTTGGACCGGAGATGTACATTTGTTGCCCTTGGAGGCGGAGTTATTGGTGATATGTGTGGCTATGCAGCAGCCTCTTTCCTTCGCGGGGTTAATTTTATCCAAATTCCAACAACCGTTATGGCACAGGTCTGAACATGGCTGCTTCTTTTTCTCTTTTCATCATTTCATGTTGTCAAATGTAAATTAATGCAATGGTCCAGTGTATCTGTAATTTATTACATGGCTTCGTAATCTTTTTTTTGTCCTTTTTAGGTGGATTCTTCAGTTGGAGGTAAAACTGGTATAAATCACCGTCTTGGAAAGAACCTAATTGGAGCATTTTACCAACCTCAGTGTGTGCTCATAGACACCGACACATTAAACACATTGCCAGACAGGGAACTTGCATCTGGTCTTGCTGAGGTTATAAAATATGGACTTATCAGGGATGCTGAGTTCTTTGAGTGGCAGGAAAAGAGTATGGAGAAACTGATGGCAAGGTACATAATAATCATCTGTTGATATATCTTTGGATCCAGCTATTTGAAACTATTTTATTAAATGAAATTCAAAATATTTGATTCTTGTTTCACACTATTAGGACTTTGCCTAGTTTTACTCTTTTTTCAAACCTAAAAACTAGTGCACTCAGTAAGTTTTTATATTTTGGAGACACTTATCCTGTTGAAATACTCGTTTCAGTGTTATTACAATAGCTCTTTCCTTATCACTAGTTATTCTCCTCAAATACACATGTTTTATTTGTTTATTTGTTATGGGTCATTGCAGGGATCCTGATGCAGTGGCTTATGCCATAAAGCGATCTTGTGAAAATAAGGCTGAAGTAGTGTCATTGGATGAGAAAGAAAGTGGATTGAGGGCAACACTGAATTTGGGTCATACATTTGGCCATGTAAGCTTTGGGTTCATGTTTTCAATTATATCACCATTATAACATGGAAAACACATGTTTTTATGGTTGGACATTTGTCACTAGCATAGCCTATGTAGCTGAAGTTACGTTGGAGAATCAACAATCTAGTGATATGATTGAACATGTTTTCTATGATTTGACTACCCACTAGGAATGAATCCTGGACAAAGTTGCATGAATCGTTAGAAAATAGATGAAATTTGAGTACCACAAGCCATTTGATTTTGTTGAGTTGAAGTTTAAGTGCTTTCTTGTGGCCCTTGTGGTTCTTGATATGAGTCTTCAGTTACTGGCAGTGGCAAGTGGTTATATTATCCTTTCCCAGAAAACCCTAATCATTTCTGATGGTTTGGTGTTTCTTTCCATTTCCAGGCAATAGAAACTGGGCTTGGATATGGACAGTGGCTCCATGGAGAAGCTGTTGCAGCTGGCATGGTATTCTATTGCCTATAAATGTTCTTTTTCATCATCTCTTCCTAAGTCTCAGTATTGTGCTGATCCAGGTTGTGTTAACCTCAGGTCATGGCTGTTGACATGTCATATCGCCTTGGTTGGATTGACAGTTCCATTGTAAAGCGAGTCCATGGCATTTTAGAAAGGGCTAAGTTGCCCACTGCCCCTCCTGAAACCATGACTGTCGATATGTTCAAGTCTGTGATGGCGGTAAGAGAGTTAACTGTAAGTTCCTTTGATCTCAAATAGCTATCTCTATCCTTGACATGCCTGTTCTGTATTCTTCTGGTATGACAGGTTGATAAGAAGGTAGCTGATGGGCTACTAAGGCTTATCCTTCTCAAAGGTCCTCTTGGCGACTGTGTTTTCACTGGCGATTATGATAGAAAGGCCTTGGATGATACACTGCGTGCATTTTGCAAGTCATGATTCTTAATTTGCTTCTTTTAATTTTAATTTGATCTCATAAGTCCATTCAATTAATTATGCTCTGTACCTTAAGAAGTTCCAGATATTTGATCCCTGTATTTTAAGGATTGTGCCAAGTACCTTCTTTTTACTGTATTTACCATGTAGGTTATCGCTTTTTGTGAATGTTGGCTCCTCCCAACTTGTAATAATTTAATTATTATGGCCGTATGGGTCAATCAATAAGTAAAACATTTTTCCCCTTTATAATTTCATTCAATTAATTGTTGCACCTTTCCATTGTGTCTTTATTTGTCAGCTTTTCAAATGATTTTGAGCTACATAAAAAGGCTCAGTGCAGGGGTAGTTGATTACAAGAGCAGAAATGCTTATGCCATGCCTATTGTTTACATTGAGGGAAATAATATGATAGAAAATGGCTGGCCAGGGCGGTGCCGTTGCCGGAATCTTTCATGTAGTAGTCCTCAAGGTCCCATTCCCTGTGTGCAAGTTGCATCTCCAAGGGGAAGATTGGTGATTCATATCTCATTACTTTTCCTCTCTCAATTTATGCCCTCTAGTCTGCATCCACTTCCCTCCACACCAAAAACAAAAAACAGGACAACCACTCTCCCTACAGGCCCCTCTTCCTCTGTATACGTCTCCCTCCGTATATGTCTCCAGATTTCTCCTGGTTGATGAGAAGCCTTTCTCCTGAGCTATATATTGGAATGGCATCAAAGAGAATTAACTCTTAAGGGAAAAGGAAACTGCAGGCGAGAAACCTTTCTTCTGAGCTCTACCTGAACGGCATCGAAGAGAATTAATTCTCATGGAGATTAGGAAACCACAGACAGATCCTCCCCAGGTCGTGCAGAGCAGTATACGTTAGGCAGTAGTAACAAACCAAGGTTTTCAATCTTGTAGCCTGCGAAGTAACCGTGTCGAGGAAATGGAAATCATGATAGATGAAGCATCAAGCATCATTGTCTGTTCAACTTATTTCAACAGTTATATAACAAAAGGTTTGAGTGTTGCAATTCTGTTCAAGCACAAGATTTTGTATAGTTGGTATTCGAGTCACTACTCCCTATGATTAAAACTCCTAAAGAAAGAGAAAAATGGTGAATACACAGTAACAGATGTGAATACAAATTTCTTCTGCTGATTAATTGAACCAAGATTGCATGATGTTGCTACTTCGACCACCAGGGTATACAAACAAATGCAATTCCCTTGAGGAAATAACCAATTTGAAGACCACACTCGTGGTAGAAGTCCAAAGCAAAAGACCCTCCAAAGCTCCAACATAATGGAATCACCTCAAGCCACGTGAAATATCCAGCATCAAACCTTGATAGAATCGTATTTTTCACCTATGGCACCACCTTTTTGTTTCTGGAATTCTATATACCTCAATGTGCTTGCTAAGAAAGCATCCGCTGCTGGATCTGGTGTGCTAGAGTCACTTTGCATTTCAGTTGTAATCAATTCAATTAGGCTTTGGACAGCAGCAACTGTTATTTGTGGGTTCCCCTTCTCAAAGAAATATAGGTACCTACAAGATGCAGTGATGTTTATAGTTTACATCTTCCATAATAACTAAAACCATATGAGCAACAGTAAGTGGTGTGAGTATTACTTGTTTAGTATCTCAACAAACAATGTGACTGAACCAGTGCTACCACGAGCTGCGTTGGCCATTTGCTGAGCAGCATTTGCAATTCTTAATGCACGCTTAAGGCAAAGCAAAACCCTAGAAAGAAAAAAAATGAAATTTAAAAATATGGATATTTGGATGATCCATTGAAACCAATTCCTGCTTCAGCAAACTCCTGAATTGGCCCATATTTGCTTTTAAAATACCAATATATGGGAAAAAGAAAAGGAGAGCAAGATAATATTATTGGTTTCAGTTATTAGTCTAAGGTTTAGAAAGAGCAAAAAGGAGAAACGTATTCAAAGAGAGAATCTGCCAGCTTGAGCATATTCTTTAATATTAAAGAACATCCATCGAAATGTTGATGGGATATCATGAACATGCAAACACAGGCATTAACCTAACCCACCTCTCTCCATCTTTGATGTTCTCCTGATCATCAACCCAGAAAAGATGTGAGCAGACATAAACAGCTCTGCACTGATCAGGCTTCTTCAAAAGTTTTGCAGAGTACTGGTTACATAAAGGACATCATATCAATGCTAGAGTTGAATGGGCCTTAGGTAGCTCAATAAATAAATGAAATGATACAAACACATACCCCTGTAGCCTTGTGCGTTAAAGTATCCCTATTTTCAACACCAAATACATGCATCCTCTGAAGAGTTCCTATTATCAGATGTATTGCAGTTACCTGAGCCCTTGAGTCCTATACCACCAAACATTTCCAAAAGGAAAAAAAAAAAGCATTGGTCTTTTGTTGCATAGATTAAATTTAAAACTACTAAAGGGCAGTGTGTAAATCACCAACTTACTGAAATTTCTTCCTCATATAAAATGTATGCTTGGGTGAAAAATTCATACGCCACTGGTTCTAAATCACAGTCATTTGCAGCCTGATTAATGTTAAAATCCATCACAAATACCAGTTAGAAAACAGGCTTCACTAATTAGTCATCTGAAAATAATCATCCAGACATCAACTTGTACCTCAGCACACTGCAAGTACAACCGTAATGCCAATTCAGGGGCTGGAACATTAGACAAAGTTTCAACAGTCTGAAACAAACAGTCAGTAACATCAAAAAATATGCTAGAGATTATGAAATTAGATTCAAGAAGATCCCTCAAATAAACATTTGGGTAACAGATTTCGCTTTTGAAAAGGAAACTGTATAATATGTGTCTGAATTAGTTAGTGTCATTGAGTCCTGCTTCAATCTAGAAAATGAACCTTACACAAATAGCCAATCACCAGGAATGTGTCAATCACTTAACTGGCAAAGAGTCCTCACCTGATTTAAAAGCTGGAAAATCTTCTTTGGTGTGGTAGATTCCTCCTCACCAAAAGGATTTTCATCTTGGCCTTGCAGCTGTCTAACCAACTGTTAAATTAAGTGCAAAAAAACTCAATTAACTTCATAAGGATATGAAAAAGACACAATTCCCATAGAAATTCAGTTGTGTATTGGGGAATACAAACCGAAAAAGGAAGAGTGGGGAACAGGATTTCAGTATTTTGAATATGCGAAATATTCAGAATAAACTAAGTAAGAAAATTATCGAATAATGTTTCTGACATAGAAACTTGCTGCTTTTCAAAGTCCCCACCCCCCAAAAAAAAACCCAAAATATTATTATTACAACAATAACAACAACTAATAAATAAAATGGAATTTTAGTGTTTCTACAGTGCAACCATGGTGAAAGAATAAATCACATCTCCATAACATCTGATCAATATTGTTCAGATATTGCTACAACAATAACAAATAACTACTAATTTGTCATGTTCAAACATCAATGTGCAATCTGGACAGAGTCGGAAACCAACCCTAAGTGAAGAAAAGACAAGGGGAGGAAACCAACCTTAAGTGAAGAAAAGACAAGAGGAGGAATGGTAAAGGGTAGACGTTTTGGTCCACCAGTTAAGATATGCTTCCTCACGGTACATATAATCTGCAGTTAACACATGCATTCAACAAGGACTATTGTCAACATAACTTGATACTTAAATCCTAACAACATAGAAACACAGTATTCAAAATACAAAAGACAAAAATTACATGATTAAGCTTTAAAAAATAGAAATTCCAAACTTATAAAAAAAAAATAAAAAAGGAGAGAGAGAGAGAGAGAGAGAGAGAGAGATCATCAAGAAAACCACAGCAGATGCAGTTGAATTATATGATTATGAAAACAAACAAGCTCCAGACACATTGCAGCAGGAGTACTTCCAAATAAAGTACCTTAAACATCTCTTCTACATCATCATTATACAGCATCTGGATAAGACGTGCGACAGAGTTCTGCTCCTCCTTGAAGTCATCTTCATCAACCTAAGCATAAGAGAGCAATATGGCCATTTAAGAATAATCAAGCAATGGATTCAGCTCTAAAGCATATGAGAACCAATGAGAAAATAAACATCTAGTTTCTGGTATTAGAGATAAAGGAACTACAATGGTTTCAGTGTACTGTCCAATAAAAGATTTGCTCTCCCATAACATAACATGGATCTCTTATGAGAGAAATCTCTAATTACCTCATCATGAACAGTTCCATCCAAATCCTTAATAAGACCTTTTATTAGTTCAAACAAAGCTTCAACCTGTTATCAACAAAAAAAAAAAATAAATAAATAATAAATAAAACAAAATGGACAGAAGCAAACCTGAGAAACCAGTCTTAAAAAACTGAATTAAAAACAGGATAAAAAAATACCTTATCAGCCGCAGAAATGCGAGTTTTGTTCTTCATAATGCTTTGAATAATAACAGTGGCCATGACTTTATTTGTTTCGCTGTCAAGGTATTCCATGATACAAGGATAATTTGAAAGTTTTAGGGCAATAACAATATCATTATACTTCTCAAGTGGAGCACTTAAAAGTGAAACTATCTGTTTTGTTGCTTTGCTGTCTTCAAGCTTTTCTTTTCCAGAGAGCTTTTTAACACATGCACCCTATATAATATTGAGCAGAAAATGCTTCAATTTGCTTCCTCAAAAACAAAGAAGAAAACATGTGAAAGCTAAATAGCAGCATCATAAGTTTCCATGATCCATCATAACCTAAAACAAGGTTGTGAGTTCCACATTATGAAAATTAACAATAAATGCAGAGTATGAAACAACACATTCCACACGCCAAGGTTCACTTATGGAATAAGTATGCTAGCAAGATTCCATTTTAGTAATCCGCTCCACTCCCCAATCAGAATTGGAAGGGGAGACTTCACACCTAAAATCAATATTTGCAACTATCCTTAATGCATTAAAGTAGAAGGCAAAAGAAGGGTGCACAGATATGCTGACCATTTTTATCCATATTCCCATCCTTTTAAATTTTAATTGTACTTAGTTTTACCTAAATTCCTCTGTTTTGATGTTCTGTTCTCCACTATTTAAACGAAAATTGGTAGCTTAGGATGAGTGGACTGACAAACCTAAAATATAAAATTCTCAAGACATTGCACCAATCCAACATGATTAGCATCACTCAATGAAAGGCAAAGTTCTACACATGTATATGTAATAAGCCCATAATACTTCAAAAGGAAGCAAACTACAAAGACTGGAAATATGAATAAATATTGGCTTCTGAACATTAAAATCAAAGCACCTAGAAATCAAAAGGCACATACCAATACTTGATCAGCATAATCAAGTCGATCAGGGTGGACATGGAGAGTAAATGTGAGAAGAGAAGAATACAAAGTTATCACTCCAAGAACAGGCATGTCAACTTGTGCTTCTATCACCTGCATTGTCATGAAGTTATTACATTCTCAGCCATTTACAAGTATATATATCAGATCAAACAGTCATGCAAGAAAAGAATAAAAGGAAATAATTTACAGTCAATTATATCCATCTATGTTCATCAGCTTAAGCATAACTAAGTAAAGGCACTAGATTTACCTTTCCAATGGCATTGTTCAACTTTGAAAAGGCTTCTACTTGCAAGAACTCAGGCAATGCATCTATACTTGAAGCAGCATAATTTGAAAGCCTTTCCATTAATCTAGATAGCACAGTTTTGATGTCAACAGTTGGCTGGAAAATAAACAACAGTCACTTTTGAGGGGAAAAAGATCTTAGCAGTCAATTTTGTCACCATTACAGTGCATATAATAGCCATGTTACACTGAGGAAATGGTCTAGGAAGTGCAAAAAAGAAGAGGAGCATACAGTGTTACCTACCTGAAGTTGCGGGCAAGCACCCAATAATACGTCAAGAGTTTGCAAATGATATTCGTCAGGAAAGACTTGAATTATGCAATCCATTAGGTAGTACTGTGCAAGCTCATCTTTACAGTTAACAACCTAGCAAAACAATTCAAATCCAGAAACAGTTGCTCGATCATTAGAAATGAGTTGCTCACATATCATAAATGCCATGAGAGAAGACACAACTTTCAATATCTATATCCAACCTGCTCAAGGACTCTAGGGAGAACAACATCCTTGTACATCTCGAGGTCAACACCCTCTATCTGACCGAGCACATGAAGATTCTTTCCAACCTAATCACACGTCAAAGGACGAGGGAAAGGGGGCAAGATCTATGGTAAGCATACAAAGACCAAGTGCACAAAATTATTGGGCATAATTTACCAGTATTGAGTTAATGGTATTACAAGATCACGCAGCTCGCTCCTTTCTTTCTCCCGTTTCTCCTTTTCGCGGGCAGGCCCCTGCAGACCAGAAAGCCCGACAGCAACCTCAACTCATGATCAGCTAAGAGTATGAATGATTGACTAGCACTATAACACCTGCATGACCACAAATCATGCCCTCATGACATAGTTTTACCTCCTGACATGCAAGCGTTGTGGTACATGCATGTCAAACATGAGAGCAGGAAATAGTCCATGTACATTCAACCAACCTGATGCTGCATCCGCACCCATAATTTGTTCATCTCTGTGAAGTTTTGGAGCACAAACTCAACGGCATCCATGACAGTGTCTGCATCCCTATAGGAGTCAAGAAAACAAACCAAGATCAATTCCAAACTTAATCACCATCTTCCATTACAAGTTGAAAATGTAAAATAGTCAACTCATCAATTAGTCAAATAAAAAATATGATCAGGTAGTCAGTGGATACATGGCAGGAATCAAACAATCCTAATTTTAATTTATCAACTCTGTATATTTGCACCTGATCTTGCAGCTTAACTGGGAAGGTGCATGTTCCCCAGCCTAAAGTGCTGAGTTCAAATCCCCCCACCCCATATGGAAGGGGAAAAAAAAAAAAACTTCATGTCTGTTATGCAAGTGAATGAAGTACCATTCCGAGATAGCTATGATATTATAAATGATTTAGGAATCCAATTAAATTCTAGTTATCATTTTCATATAAATGGAGGTCTAAAAGTAAAAGAAAACCATTTTCCACATTACCCTTCATACTCAGAACCAATGTCAGGTAATTTATCCCGACTAACTTGAGCAAGATAACTCCTGAGGAACAGCCCACGCACAGGATGCTGAATCCCACGGCACATTTCAACCAGATCTTTAAGAACATCCTTAGCAGGAGCTTCCTTGGATTTGATATATACAGACCCTACCGTGCATAGGAGATACCTGACAGATCACAAGAGTTGTCAAATGACAGCCTCCCAATCAACAAATTAAAAGCAGAAAGAAGTAAAGGACCAGTTTTGCCTATATAACAATGGCTCTTGAAAACCACAAACATATGAGTAATAGCCAACCACATTTAGTAGCAAAGTAGAAGGGGTAAATTACCTACAACATTAATAACTACATTTAGTAATAAAGTATGAGCAAAGCCAACTAAAACCAAGCGCATTAGACAGACAGTGAGCATCATCTTGCTTTGTATATCGTGCAAATCAAAGATGTAATACTTAGACTACATCAACTACCTCTACAATCACGACAACTAAACCATGAAGACATCATAAGCACACAATAAATACATGATTATAGAGAAAACACTCAAATGAGATTCATGCTTACAATCTGGGCAGTATGTTCCCAGCATGCTGAACAAGCTCATACAGATCAATAATGGAGCAACCACGCCTTGCTTCTTCCTTAAAGAACATCTCCAGCTTCCTCAACTCATCAAATGCTCGCATATCTGAGCGAAATCTCGCAAATCAAACATCATATTAACAGGAATTTCTTCTCTAAAATCAAAATTACAACTAAAAATGCATAAAAAAACAAAACCTACGGATCAACCAAACGCAAAAGAAAGATCAGATCGGATACAAGAGATGAGCTTACAGAGTGCGTAGTATTTGTGAGGAGAAAGCTTTGAAGTCCGAAGCTCTGATAGCATCTGAGCAGAATACTTCAAAGCATCTCTAAGATTATTCGAGTCCTGAGAGAACAACAATATTCAATACGAAATTAGAGTTTCTCTGTCAAAATTAAAGTCATGATTATCAAGGAAAAATCGTTCAATCTCTCCTAATTTCTTTCCAACGAAGCCGAGATTAGATTAGAAGAAATGGTAAAAGGAATTACCAGGGCGCGATGCATGTAGAAAGCGTTCTGCTGGAGGCCGGCGACTCCAGCGGCGAGCCACTTCTCTTCGTCTTCGACGACGTCCGCCATCGTTCTCCCTCTTTGGTTTCTCTCTCTAAAAAATAAGACTTAAAACGCCTTTCTAAATTGTATTCCAAGTTGCGTTTTGACTTTACTTGTTGCCCCACCACCCTCAACTGCCCTTCTAGTCTTTTTGAAAGGAATCCTGTGAGATCTAAGCTGTTGCTTGGTGTAGCGTTTTGTCCCCTTGTATTTCGTAATATATTCTAGACCGTCGATGTTAGAAGGTGCTGATCGTGCGGTTTTACTTCAGCCTTGTTTTATTTTCTAAAATTTTGCAACAATTTTATTATAAATAAATTATATGTAGTTCGTATTATAAAATTATTTAAATATTTTTAAATTTATTTTTATAGAACGAATTATATATAGTCAACTTATAATTTTATTATTTTATTAAAAATATTTAAATAATTTTACAGAACGAATTATATATAGTCAACTTATAAAATAATTTTTAATGAAAAAAATATTGTATAGTACAAATTATATTAAATTAAAAATAAGAGTAAGTATTTCGATATAAAGAGCTTTTAATAATTTTTATTTTATAATTTAATATAATTTAAATTATAAAACAAAAAAGGTTTTTATATTGCTATTTTAATAATATTAATTCTTTACATGATTTCGTATTTTGTGGTCTATTTATGTAAAATGCTACTCATACAAATTTGCAACATGAAATGAAATGTTATTTTATTATTAACTCTTTTTATTATAGTTTTGGAGAATATGCTTGATCTTGTAAGCAATCATTCCCACAAGCGAAAACATCTTCCAAGTGGCGTTTCAAGAAATAAGGGCCATCCATTAAATCCCACTTAAGTCCCACTATAGCATAACAGTGCACCCCTCCACTCACACTCACTTTGCACCTGGACCCCCAACCGGTTAAGAACACAAACTTTAGCTAGATACACCTACTCAGAATCCCAGACACCTCAATCTTGTGAGTTTTGACACCAACCTTTACACGAATGACTTAATGGCAGTAGGTAATTGAACACGTAAACCCAATAGGGGGCACGGAGAAAAACATGCATGGTAAAAATGAATGCTTGTATTACTCAAATGAATTGGACATGTGGTGCATCAATGCATTTTTCTAAGAACAAAATGGTAGAAAGCCTATATCAATCTCAACCAATGTTTCTATAACTACCATGCCGGACAAAATCTGGTCTCAGCATTTCAAGGACCAACCACCATGACATCTGAAGACTTGAAGAGATAAAGCAGCTGGAATGCTGCCAACAGAATCTCCAGACTTTCAGCACCCAGCTGGAAAGAGTTCTCTTGAACTTCATCTCCTTGGTTGCCCCATTCTCATTTTAAAATGGTATTGTGAATGGTAAAGCATAAAGATCAACATCCGGCAAGTGGAAAGCCTGTGGCCAATGTGTTAAATTTTCTTGACTCAAGCCAACATTTTCAAGTTCAGTTCTTTTAGCTGCTGTTCGGAGATTTTGCACTCTCTGAAACAGCCATTCTTTATCTTCAACACCAGAACTCTCCATCTGTGGTGGAATCCAATCCTCAACAAGATTTTTAAATTGTGAAGTGATTGTAGGAGGGCAACAGCTACACAGTTTTGCTGTCAAAGTTGCCTCAGCCTTGCTCACAGATCTTTCTGATGCACAAGACGATTGGAAGGGCACATTTTTATTAAGCTTCAGAGTGACTTTTGGGCTAGCATTTTGGGATGTAGAACAGGGATCTTCTCCAAGTTCTTTGCCTGGTCTAAGAGTAGCTCCATTTATCCCTTGAACATAGACATCATTAATCCTTCCAAAGGCAGGGAAAGGCTGCTCCTTGCTGGGTAGCACTTCTGGATCTTTGTGCCTTTGAGAAGGCATCTTGATCCGGAATTTGCTTCCTTCACATCAATAATAAGAAATTGAGTGCAGAACATCAACACCAATGTGACGTAAATAAACCCAACAAGTAAACAGCCTCCCCCAGGCAAGGAAAAGCCACAAACACACTCACCAGGATGATGCCTGCTGTCAAAAGGGGAGCTCAGCTTCTGCCTTTTATTGCTGTTGAGTGTGCTATCAGAAGAGTTCTGGGATCCAAGAGCCTGGCCATGTTCTTCAGTAAGGCTACTCTTCTCATTGTTTTCCACTTCAGTTTCTCCCTTCTTTTGATGGTCGCTACCTTTTGGATCTTGAGTCCTCTCATCTCTATGCCTTTTCCTATGACTCTGCTTCTTACGTTCAATCTCTCCATCTTCCCTGGCCCTCTCCTTCTTTTTCTTCTCACGTTTTTTCTCTTTCTTCCTATCTCTCCTTGCCTTCTCTTCCTCCCTCTTAAGCTTCAAACCACAAGAATAAAAGTCAATTTACAGACATACTGAACTGGCAAAAACCATTAAACCAACAAAAAAACCTTAATAGAAGATGACAATAGCATAACAACCACCAACATAACAAACCAATTAAAAATAAGTTATTCAATAGAAGATCCATTCTAAATTAAGAAGCAGCTTAAGTAAAAGAATCACATCTCTCACACCATTACCACCTTACTAAAAACCAGTCTACATAAACATCCACTTAATGTCCTATGTCCTGAAAGAAACTTGTACTCATATATTACTACATGAATAAAATCTATCATATTTCACAAACGGTAATGCAACTCCACGAATAAAACAGAACCAGGGCATCCTGCCACAAACCAAAAGTTCAATTGTTCTTGGACCATCTAAAAGTTGACTGCATACTTCCTAGTTATAACAGAGTACCAAAAATTTACACACTGGATATTTAAGTGCAAAGACAAAAGGCTCAATTGCCGAAAATTGAATATCTCAGCTGAAACGAATCAGAACCAGTACATCACCAACAATTTGCTATTTGCTGCTGTGAACTCGGTAGGTAATCATCTAAATTAATTACACATCCAATTCAAACAGGACACTCCCAATAACACCCAGTAGCATCATTTACTACATTCAGGAAACAGCTACTGTTCTTGTATTTAGTTCTAGTTAATTGCAAGCTCATATGTCAACCATAAAATATAACCTTAAAGATATTTTCTTTAAATTTTTTTTGTTTGGTATATTTGTTGTTCTTCAAATCTAGAAAACCCCATTAGGGAAAAAGTTCTGCCATATAAAATTTCAAGTTTCGCAGAATTATCCACCTTAATACCCAAACGAAGAACGAAATTCAACTTTCAAAAAACATTTCCAATCCCCTCGATTAGCTTCTTCGATTCCGGTTCTTTAATACTCATCTCTATGTTTAGGTAACTGAATTACTCAGCACAAACAAAATCAAGCTAGCAGGCAACCGAATAAAGTAGTCGAGCACAAACGTTAAAAGCCCAACATAGCATTAAAGCCATGAATGCTCAACAAACCTTAATCGATTTAATGAGTGCCTCATCGTGGATTCCGTTCTTCACGTACCCCGGAGGAGGATACGGAAAGCACCGGGACATCGTTACAACACCACCACCACCACCCAAATTTCTAGCAAACCCTAGCTTGAGCGAGATCGGGTAACAAAAACACAGTAGGTATGGTTCGATCACTGTTCTAAGCTAAGATCTGGACTCGTCCCGCCAAAATTTTTCACTGTTTCGAGAAGTGAAAGGCAAAAATTGAATCGATTCGAGAGTTAGGGTTTCAGGGGAAAACGAGAGATCCAGAGCTGTGACAGGCGTTGGATCTAAAATCGGTTTAATCCACACGTAAAGGGGGTATTTATAGAGGCGACCCGTCCAAACGCGGATTCAAGGGTTCCGTTTGGACAAAGGAAGATTGTATCCAGACCAGAGATAAGTATATCTTTTTGGCCTTGAATTTTTCTCTTTTTAGGATGCTTTTTTTTTTTTTTTTTTGGGTGAATCTCTATTTAAGATGAATTAATCGCATTATTTTATAATAAATTTTTATAAAATTAAGTCAAAATATTTTTTTATTTTTTATAAATTTAGTTTAATTTTTTAATTTTTTTATATATAAATTTTAAATAAAATTTTAA